TAAAATTTGGACGAAATAGTTTTTATTGAGAAAAAGGTCACATCTTGTGCCTTAAAGTCTAAGAAGCCGTTTTCGGCGTTTCGAAATAATTCGAAAGGTTCCTCCTTCAGCTAACAGCTTTTTATATAGACTGCGATCCTTCACTGCAAATAGCTGTCAGCTGGTCATAAAATACCTCTCGAGTGTGTCATTTTTCAAACAGCAAACGTGTTGTTTGCTTTTGCCACGAAAAGTGATTTTTCTTACCTTTCACTGCACATGATTCGCTGGTAGTGTTTGCTGATAAGGGAACTTTTAACCTAAGACTATCAACAGCAAATTTTATTTGTCTGCTAAAATTTGCTTAGCAAAAAACATCTAATAGGATGAATAATAAATTTATTTGTCTATAAGAAACCTATGTATGAACTATTAATATAATATGAAAAATCAGCAGGATTATTCGTAAGAATTGTGAAAATCATTAACATGCGTATCATTACATTATAGTACATACTCATTACATGAGTATAATTGTGTGGAATTTAAAATAATATAATTTGTTTAGTTAATCGGGAACGCAGGAATAAAGTCAGTAAGAAATGTAATAATAAAAATAGCACATTTTGTGAATTATCCATTTTTATGTCTTCTATCCTTGCACGAAGAAACGACAGACGAAAAAGGCGGTTTTATATTTTTTTAATAAATTGAAATGACAGTCACTTGTTAGAGAATATCGCAGTGTTTGATTTGCTTTAACTGAACTTGCTTTGAAAACCGGAACTTGGCCGAATATTAAAGTCTTTATTCTAGTTTTATCCAAATCGCGTTGGCTTTTGTATTCTAACAATTTGCCTTTGCGCCTGAATAAAATCGACTCATATAAAATATACATTGATATACAATATCAAAATAAATAAATTTGTTCAAAATAACACAACGTTTATCTGATATTTAACGACGTAACTCACTGAGACAGTTTGACCTGAAATAAGTTGAGTAAAATATAAGTAGCGTAAGCCTGTAAATTTTACGCATTATAATTTTTCATTGAAATCGGAAATTCTTTCTATTATAAATTTAATAATTAAGCATCTCAAGTTGTCTGACATATTGTACATATTTATTGCCATCCTCTTTTGAAACAAACGCTTCTCCCGTATATCACCTTTTTATTGTTTGTGATGCTTTTACAAAATTTTTGTTTATTTTCTATTTACGAACTATTTTCCCTTGCATAAAATTTAAAAATCATTGATATCAGCTTTTGAAAATATATCTTCGCGTTTAAAACACCAAAGGGGCCACATGTTGCGCTTACTAAGAGGTTTTCTCTTAAATACTTTGCCTCCAACAGAATTAACCGAGGAGAACGAAGAAACAAAAATAATTTTCCATCCATAAAAAAGGTTCACAAAAATCTCACAATATTCTATTGTAATTCAAAAACAGCTTTTCTGCATCTATTCTAACAAGGCACTTTCTCTCTATTTTAATGCTTTATCGTCCAATTTCTGCTTTAAACAATCAAAATGTAAATTGGCAATTCCTGCTCCAAGTAATAAAACAAGCGCAGACGCTAATTACATTTAGATTAAAAAAATGCCGTAAAACATCCTCCTAGGCACTATTGTGTTTTCGCTTGATGGCGAATGGAATATGTGAAAATGTGCTTAACGATGGAATGCAATTAAACTGGAAGCAAACGTTTTTTACTTATATGCCCGTTATTTCAAACTATACAGCAGTTATTAAATAAAATAAAATAAAATACAACTGAAGCGGATGTTTGGAGTTTAGCAATTAATAAACAGTCATTAGTTCCGCAATTTTATGTGGTATGATACACATGGTATTATTTGTGCTTTTGCTTTTTAATTTGTTGAGCACCTGTGCGTAAAATTATAAAATTAAAATTTATTTGTGAATGTTTGTTTCAATTAACTCGGTTTGGGGCAGGTTGTGTAATTGTTCCAGGTACTATGGCTCGAAATATATGCCTACAGACTGATTGATTTTGCTCTAAAGATATAATGTAAGATGTAAGTAAATTGCCAAAGTTCCAACTCCCAACCACTTGCAGCGATATCGGAAATAAACAAGTGGAAGTTTTGGGTGCACAGTTCGCTCTCGAAGAGAATTTAATTAATTAAAAGTTTCTTCGTTATTAAATGAAGTCCGGTAAACCAGTTTAAGAAAAAGCTTCGTTGACTTGATTATAATTCCTCCGTCGTACCTCGCGATAAATTTCTTTTTAAAGAACTGCAGGACAATTAGCGAACGTGTTTTAATTAGTGCGCATTTCGTTAAGTCAGAGATTTTTTCAGTACGTAACGAAAAGGTTTCCATTTTTCTGCTAGCGTATTCCGGTTTGCCACAATTCTCTCTATAAATTGGGTGCAAGATTTCAGGAGCGCTAATTGAAAATTATCCCAACATCCATGTTTACATGGCAGGCACGTAGTTTGGTAGAATTTAACATTCAGCCTGAAACAGCAACGTCTCACCTCTATCTGAGCACCTGCAGTTTAGTTGCATTAGCGTGTATCCTTGGCACAACATAAATTTAATTACTTACAGCTTCCTGAATGAGAAAGGAAACTTCTAGGAGGATAAAATAGCGTTTGAGATAAAACGAAATCAACTGGCTGCCATTTGAAGGCCCAAAACACGAAAGAATTCACGTTAGGCAATTCCTTTCGAAAGGAAACTGTGAATCCATCGAAATGTGGATTTGTATTCAGGGTAAGTAGAGAATAGGAACGATACTTGATCTGCATACAAAAAGGCTGGGTGATGTAGGGAGTTCGGCTATGGACAAGTTATGAATTCAACACCTTGTACGTGATCCTGATTTTTTTCTAATTGTGGCTTCTTTATCGATGCACTTCAGTTTTTATGGCAAAGCTATTTAACTGGCTCTTCCATGTGCAGCAAATGAGCTGAATCGACCTCAATCCTTCAAAGTCTATTTGCAATTTCAAGCAGCATTTGAGCACATGTGCCTAATGAATTTATGGGGGTGTCAAAGATATGCCTGGTATCTTCAAGGAGGTCGTTAAAAAGTCATTACCGAATCTCTGTTTCCAATGTAGAACATTAAAAGGCACTATTCAACTTTGCGAAAAGCGGCAGGTGAATGGCATTACTCCGTGTCCCTAAAAGCCACTTTCTCGTTATCAACTTCACATTAGTGTCACGCGGATACCATATAGAGTAAATTAGGGTGAAAGGCGGCTTGATCCCGTGGGAGTTGCAGGTCGGGACCACAAGAGGACTTTTCACCTTTACTGATTCGGCAGCGAGAGTTTAGACGCTAAATACTAGAGCTTTTAGAGGGTTTTTATTTGTTAAACCCGCCATTTTCAGTAGGATTTTTGTTCAATGTTAGCTTTTGAATAACTTAGGCCATCCTAGAACCTTCAGGGGTTAGACCGAATATTGCTGATAACAGTGTAACATTTCAGTGTCTCGATATAATTTTTTCAACCAATTTTAACAAAAAATTTGCCAAATTTGTTAAAAATAGTCAACAATTCTAAATGACTTCAGTTGTTATAGTCGGAAACACAACTGTGATTATTTGATCAAAATGTGACTCGCTTCCCTCATCGGTCTTATACAAAAACATTTTCAGTTTTACGGATACATTTAAAGTATTTTAGTAAATATCATCGCAATTAGATAATTTGTTTAGTGAACGCAAGTTACAAAGCAATTCTCACATCTAAACAAGGTGTTAGAGTTACTAATAAGTTGAGCGGATTTTTGAAATTTAAAAATATGCAAGACATTTATTAAGCGAAACTATGCGAAAGGTGCTCTTATTTTTTGTATTTTGGAAAATGATTGAAATATGACCTCATTTGCTCAATGCGCGTTAAAGGCGTATTAGAAAAGTTCCTTCCTTTATATGTCTGAGATCTTACATAAGCGGATTTAAATGATAAATTAAGCGGAATTTTAAAACTCAATGATGTGCAAAACATTTATTCAGTATAAGTAAGTGCAAGAACTTCTCTTACGTACAAAATGTTTGTATTCCATTACTTGCACAATGCGCTTTAAAGGCGTGTTAGAAAACTCCTTACATTCATCTGTCTGATCTATTACATAATTTTATTTTAATAATAAACTTGCCGGATTTTTGAAATTTAAAATAAAAAAAAAACGAAATTACACTTTGAGTTAAATTACAAAGTAAGTAGTAGTTATTCTGATTATACAATGAAATATCCGAATTGGAACTTTGAAAGGGCATTTTTTTTGATAAATTTCTGCGAGAATTGATATAAAACAAGTCGATTACACGGCTTCTGGAAATCAGTACTGAACAAGATTATTCTGCTTGTATATTCAGTGTAATCTAGAATTGAGACTGAAGAAAGAAGACAAGAATCTTCCTAATTGTTCCAAGTTTCACTGCGGCCATTAAGCGATAAATTTAGGTTGCTAATAAACACCGACATCACTTTTAACTTTCACACAAGGCAAAATTTTCAAACAGGACGAAAAAAGTTTGTAGGTGCTATTTAGAAAAGTGATTTTTTGACTGTTTTTATATCAATGTTTGTGCTATATGTTATATGCTACAAAAGGGACACTTTAGAGTCATATGGGGAGTTAGCTGGGGCTATCAGCTTCCAAATTCGGGTTTCGATTTTAAAACTGCTAATTTGATTGTTTCGTAAACACCAGTCTTGGCAGTTTTTTCTTTAACAATTGATAAATATCAAAAGCTATAAGAGATAAGTTAACAAAACTAGGGTTACCCAAACTCGCAATTGGAGGGCCCATCAAACCATGCTAAATAAATATAAAACTAAGAAAGTCAGGTTACAGCTTTTGTACACTCGTTATGACCGGAAACAAAACTTTCGACACAACTGCAAGTTGGAAAACTAATGCACAGTCTACGTAAATCCCCCTGTATACGTTTGAGGCAGTAATAAAAAATTAAACGAATTAAAGATATATATTTAGTCCCGTAGTTCTATAAATATGAAATCAATACTCACCTTACTAAAAAGTATTATTTGAATAGCGCTTTTCCGTCGCATTTTGTCTCGTAATCGATTGTCCGGTTGAAACCCTACGAGGTATTTGGACAAAACAGCTGTCCGGAATAAATAGAAGAATGTCATCAGAGCCATCAGGTAACCGGGAATGACCAGGCTGGAGATAAAGGCGTTCTTGTCCAGAAACCTGCCAATAAAACACCTGAATTAATATTCTAAGTAAAATGCAGTAAACATGAGGATCGAGCTTTGGTAACGAATTTCCAACTAATCGAGTGGATGGAAAATGTATATAGCGCGAAGAGCTGTAATACATCAGTCAAAAATATGAGGAAAATTTACATTTTAATAGAGCACTTAACGTATGATGATTTATTAGAAAGCGCTAATAATGTGAATGCAGGGAAATTTTCCGAAGCACATACACATTTATAAAATAAATTTCCTAGAGCTGCAAACGATATTCAATCAAGCAAAGTAGCAAATAAGTTGACTCGAAAAGTTCTGTTCCATTTTCTGCGCTTGATTAGCGAAGAATTTCAAAAACGACATAAAAGTCTATCTGAAGGGAAACGCTCTATAATTATGCTAAATGAGGATATAACTCAAACGACTAGCTAATAAAACTTGCGGCAATTCGAAAGGCGATTGTTCACTTTTAAATGAATTTCCTAATCGCGGTAATTTCGGAGAAGCGAAAAGTTCCTTTTGGATTCTTGTTTTCAGAGATTAATCACTTGGTCATACGAAAATCGCTCTCAATTACCTTAATTTGACCTATTTTTATTTGAACCAGTTTCATAAAGTTATAGACAAACATATCTTTTTTATTTTTGCAAATCCAGAAAATTATTGTTGTTTTTAAATTATTGTTCAAGCATTAGCGTTGATGGATTGACTTGCATAATCCGGGTAAAGCGGTAATGTCCCAATTACTAGTTAAATCATGCGCTAATTAAATTGAAATTCTCTCAAATCATTGGCATTTAATCAGGTTTATTGAGCACACAGGACTCATAATGTGGCAGAATGCTCGTAATTCTGTCAACATGTGCTGGAGATGGAACACAACCGCTGGAAATGAGACTATAATTAACAAAACCAACTATGATTTATTGAAAATTGCCCATCCATTCGGTCAGTATTAAATTGGTTTTTTGGGGCAATATTTTTGAAAATGCCGACAGCTTGATGCAAATTTGAGATTATCTGGAAGCCGCTTGCTTCTTTAGCATTTGGTAGCAAATAACAGCTTTGTAGAATGGATGAAGTAAACCGAATATTGTGGATAAATTATGCATACGATGCAAATCGGTTTGGCTTGTCAGGCCTCGATACTTTGCGAGAGCGTATCGGTCTAATCTTCTCAACCTTTTTGGCGAAATACTAAATCTAAAAGGAAATATTTTAGCTTCAGGGTAAAGAGCAAAAAGGACTGAATCGGGTGTGCTTCAATTTTTTATCCCTTTTCTTTGCTACACGAGGTAATTTGCTTTCGCACTTATTTACACTTAAAAAATGAATTTGTTAACGTTGACAATTTCCAGACGAAGTCGGATTCAATTATTTTGTGTATTTCCTGCTTTTAAAACAATTCTTTACTGCGTCTGAAGTTGAAGAAATTTAAATATATTACCTTACAAGTATAAATATTGCAAATACATTCGTGAATAGCCGGAATTTATAGAACATAAATCGTTAGACATTGTTCACGTTTCCATTCCAGGCAAAACCTTGCTCATTAATTACACCTAAAAACTGGCGAACTATTTATTTAACCGAATGACACAAAAACCGCACAAAACATTTAAAGCGCGCCAACTAATCCTGCATCTAAGCGTCTAAATAAATACTTTATAAATTGAAATTTGCAAACTATTGAAAAATGGCTTTTTGTATGTGACATAAAGCCTAGCTTTGAAACAATGTAGGCTGGCAGAGTTGTCCATAAAAACCGGTGGCTTAATAGTAAATTGACATTAACACTAGTGTTCGTATGGAATTGTTCGGAACTTTTAATCAACAATGTCAGAGCCGATGATAAATTGTTTTGAAGTCGGTGCAAAACTAGAACTTTTGAGAATTGGCATTGGAATAATTTATCTTCGCTCCATAAATCCTCCAGTCAACTTTTGAAATATCAGTTTAGTAATTGAAAATGACGCCGATGTGGATAAGCGTATAGAGATGCCATTAAGATAGATGCGAAAAGTGTTTTGTTCGAAATGGAATTTTTTTATTGAATTACCGTTTCATATCGAGCCATACTATTAATATTTGTTTAGTTTCTGTTATGACAATAGGATATTCTTACCAGCAATTCTGCCTTCTGAGGTCTTGAGTGTCGAGCAACATTCCACGTTTATCACAGTATTGGATTAAGATGCTTGCCAGCAGGAATACTAATGGCAATCCCCATCCTAGAAGGGAATATCTGAAACAACGTTTCATTTTATAATCACATTTGCTTAAAAAATTACTAAAATTAGCCGAGCGGAATTGCCTCTTTTTCTTGATTAATAATTTAATGCCAAATTCATCAACTTTTTCAAGCCCGAGCTTCAGGTAGCGAGAAACTTAATATTCATAAACTAAGGTGCGTTTTTTGCGTGAAGGTTATTGATTAGTCTGGCTGGAGTCTAGACGCTTGATAAGCCTAATATATTAAATTTTCCCAAACTTTCTAAATATTTACTCACGCAGGTGGGATGTTTACATAATCAATCTTTTTGTTTTTATTAATGCATATTCTGCTAGTAAAAGGAAACAAGTAACATCAATTGAAACACTCGATACTTTTTTAACAGTCGCATATAAGGAGGTCAAAATACAAATTTCGGAAGTAGTTTTCTCTAAACAGCATGAGGTGAACATTTTTTAAGTGGCGCCCTCAGGCAAAAGCTGGATTAGAATCTTGAGTTTTCTATGAAATGCGTTGTTAATTTTTTAACGCTTAATAATAAATTTTTCACAAATCCTTGGAGGTTTGCTCGAAAATCAATATGATGTTAAAATAGCGCGAATTTTACTTTGCTAGAGAAGAATGTATTGAAATATTGTCAGCTTGTGCAAAGCAAGCAAACATGTTTGATAGAAGAATTTATAATTAAAATATTTTGAATTGTAGACAACGGCGTGTTATAGAAATTCCGGAAGGGAAATGATCTAAAGGTGAATTCTGGTGCATATTTGCGTTAGTTCTGCAAGAGCAAACGAAAAATTGATGCTTTTTTAAGCCTTAGAGCTGATTAAACTTATTGCCTTGTGCTTTCTTGCCCTCAAAGGTTATACGACGTATTACAGTCTTCAACTTTTAAGCTACAAAAATTATATTTATCTTGGGTACACTTTCAATAAAAAGCGTCGTAGCAGACCAACTTCACACCTTTTTTAAATTAAGTTGAACATTTTTAATGCAATTACCGCGAAAGTTTAACTTTTTTGATTGCACACCAAAATATGTCCGGAATAAACGACTACTTCCACAGGTTTATCAACGCTTCTAATATGCAAACTGCTTATTATCTAAGACTTGTATTTGAACTACAAAATCCCAATTTGTCTTGCAAATATTGACATTGTTCAACTTCGCCATTATGTAGTTTGTAAATGGGTAAACAGTACCCTATTGGATCCTACAGGGATTTGAACTTAAAACGAAAATTTTCGGAACAGGTTTTTATCGCAAACAAAGACTCCATTATTCAGTTTTCCGTGAAAGGAATTTAAATCCTTTGAAATTAAGTGAAATTTTCAGTTCAGTCAGCACGGAAACTAATTTATAAGAGGGCTGTTGTTTAATTTGCGCCATACAAAGGGCGTTAATCAGTTTGCTTATTTTTTTGAGGGCTGTATGTTTTACCAATTAAAACTGAGTTAAGAGGAATATGTTAGAGGATTTATCTAGAAGATGCTTAGAGAAAAATAATTAAATATGACGCGAATTGCTAGATTTGCCTAGTTTGTTGCGTAAAATATTCCTGAGAAATAGTGTTCATAATTTCACATTTTAAAATTCATTACCTTTAGTCAACGTTCTTCCAATAACGCAAAAGTACAGCAAAAGTTAATTTGCATAAAGGGCATTATTTAACAGCAACGACTGAACTCAGTTGAAATCAGTAGCAAATTTAAATCTGGTAAGAACTAATGAAAGTTTGTGTTCCTTCCAAACTATTGCATTTATTTAATAAAAATCACGTGTAAATATTCTCTCTCAATCTAACTACAGCTGAATATTTGTAAGTATCATAGTATCTGTTGTCTGAAATAATATTTTTAGTAACCTCAGGTTGTTTCACATGAACCAACCAGCAGAGTTAATAATACCAATTTATTGACCTTCGCACATTCTACCGGCAACAAACAAAGCAAATGAGCTTCAAGTTCAAAGCGCAAATTGGATATCGTGTCATGGCAGTCGGTTGTCTCTGATTAGCTAAAATCGGCATTTGTTTAACTAAGTCTTCTTGATTGATGTGCTTGCACAAAGAACGTGTTAAAGTGTTAGAGTTTTCACTAAAACCCAAAACGATTTTTTAACATCCACCAGTTGAATTGGATTCAGCAAATACAGGTATGTATAAAAGGCTTTATTTCTCATACAGACCGATTAGATCAGAAATGATCTACGAATATTTGTTAGCTTTCTAATGCTGAATAACAACATTCAGCTGTTTCCTAATTTATGTGCCATAGATTTCGCGGCGGCCTTCAAACCAAGAATCAGCTGTTGCTAAAAACAAACAAATATTATCTAGAGTATTTATGTTTTGTAGGTGTTAATGCTATGTTGTAGATAATGAGCATCATTTTCGATAAACCTGCCTAATCAAGCACATGTTTTTAAACTTATTGCGCCGATCACAGCTGCTTATGGTGTGAGCAAATATTTTTTCGAATGCTGAATTGCATCGAATCGAGGTAAGGAAATAGTTGCAGATTTCAATGCTTTGTAATGATAGATCCTTATTGAACAACTACGTTTTCATTGTCGTCACATATGATTTCTAATGTATGTATCGGGATGTTTTCGTTATTTGAAATTTGATGTCTAACATGAAGTCTATTTATGGATTGAAGGCTAATTCTGGTCGAATCACAATAAATGTAATCGTTTTTCAACATTTAGAATAAAGCATCTGTGGAAATTTCTTGGATTTTTAGCGGGTGGTGATTTATTAAGCTACGGAAAAATAAGAATATATCCAATGCTACAGAAAAGGGGGGAGTATATTAATGACCGAATTATCCGATATCTATCATCTAGGAAGCATATCTTATCATTTAGGTATAAATATTGAATGTATTTCCCCGGGTTCCAGAATTATTGAAATTTTACCGGGAAACATTGAGCGATAAACAGTTAATTTATTTTACCAACATATATTTTATTTTGTATCACCTTTGTGTCTGCCATTATTTTCACTTATTGATTTCGCATTTAACTTTCGTTAGTTTATTTGCAACTTCGTCAAATTTGAAGGTCTTATAGATATTGCGTTGGTGGTAAAATGACTTCATTTTCGCTTGCCGTGAAAAAGTTTACATACTTTTATAAATCGCTAGTTTTTTATTGTTTGATTCTCGTGGTTAGTAGTTCATTCTTTACTAGTAAATGCGTTTCTCTTACCAATAGTTGTTTTGTATGGCTTAGGTTAGTATTAATTTTGATCCTTTCATGACTCGTGATGAATAGCTTTTTTAGATAAATTGATTACATTTTTATCACCTTTTTATTGCTAATATTTTGAATCGTATTCTGTTTTATTATAATAATATTCACTTTTTGGATTGTGATTATAAGTTCAAATGTTGTCTTTCTATCTAAATCTAATTTAGATGCGCAATTGGATCTGCAATTTTTTTATTTTTTTCTGGTTCTTCATTATTTTTATTAGATCAGAAACGGATAGTATGGAAAGTATAGCCATTAACACTAATCAAATGTTTATTCATGCAATCATTTTATATGAACGTTTTCAAAATTTTATACAATTGTGTTGCGTTCTTAATTCGCTTTTGTTCGTCTAGTTTCTGAAAAATTAATGCTGTTTCGAAATCAGCGGTAGAATTGTGTTTTCTTTAAATACACTTCTTGCAATATTTAATATGTATTTTTATTGCCGCAGCTTCAACTTCAGATTATTTGAAAATCAGAAATATATTTAGATCAA